ATTGTCCCCGTGCGCTTGATGTTAATCAGGTCCTTTCATAAGCCAACAATGCGAGCTTGCATACACCGTCCTTGGATTATACAATGCGCAGCAGAACTGGAGGTGACTGCCATGTCTGCCCCGCCGTCACAGAACGCTGTTATGCGTTTCAAGCTCGGACTCAACATATCGCTTACCTTCGGCGGCCCATGGTATTTGTTTTGAGACGTTGGGTACAATAGGTACACCTATTGCGAGGATCTGCGGATGCTACTGTGAACGAGTTGCTGTTGTGTTGCAACGAGGAGTCGACACCGGCGGTGTGATGTCTAATGAATTCTAATCTAGTTGAATCTTGAAGTTGCTTTACGATTACATTCATCCGCGTACTTGATGGCATCAACATCCATTATGGCGCACTGTCAGGCCTAGCAGGTCTTCTTGGGGTCCATACTCAAGGGGTTTGGATCCATTATTGAGCGGCGACGGACTACTGTGTTCATACGGCATGCTTGAAGGGATTTCATGTCCTACCTTACGCTAATTGTATGGTTTCAGCATCCATTACTCGATGCTGCTCGTGCCATACTCACGAGGCTCTGATTTATAAATGTGGGTGGAAGAATGATCAGCGAGAGCCGCTGTACGTAAGCGCCCGCCAGCGGAGTCGCGATGCACTTCTTTCCTCTACCGATGTGTTTGTCTTGCTCTCGTCTTGTTCGCAGTTGTGGAAATGTACATAAAGCTATGGGGCTTTGTAGGCATCATTTCTTATCCGGTTCTACAACGAGCTATCCTGAGCCGACGGTCGTGGTGCACCTGGCAAAGCGTCAAGCGAAGTGGTCACATGGCCCTCAGCTCGCGACTTCAGACATGATCTACAGACAGCGTTCTCTGCAGAGTACGAGCTCAACCGTCGCGTGAAGCAGTGCACGAACCCCGGTGCGAGGCCGTACAAATGCTGGATCTGCCCGCAGAAAGCCAACGGCGAGCTTGCTGAATTCGACAGACACGACGCCCTCAGGCGTCATTTTATATCGAAGGATCCGGGGGAGCGACCGCCATCGAAGCGTGATTTGAACTAGAGCTCAGGGCATGGTCTATCAGTTAGTAGCTGTCTAGAACCCTGGTATTCGGAGTCGGTGCTTGCCAATGTGATGGTTCGTGACTCTCGCGCATTACTATATATCGCTCAGCTTGTCTGTAGTATCTCAATGGATTCACTCGCAACTGCCTTCGGCTTGTTGCAATTGGTGCAACGATACTTCTTCTCTTGTGGCTTCTGGTCACGGGGTGCCTTCGTGGTGGCGGGGAGAGAACTCGCAGTCGAACTTCGGGTCGGCGGGCGACTACGAGGTGACACGACGTCCCTCCTTGGTTGCGTCGAGGATGATGTCTGCGCAGGGAGTTCTCCCTGGCTGGATCTGCTGCGCTTCTCGTCACCGCCGATCGGGTCGCCCTTTCTCTTGACAGCGCGTGGGGTCGCCTGATCGACTCCTCCCGCGCCCTTGCACTCTCGCCCTTTTGCGGCACGCGAGGGCTGAATTCCTGTGGGGCCCGCCGCTCGGTCAGGAGGAGGCGATGGTTCAGGATGGACCGTGATTGGACTGTTGTGTTCTTGCGCCCTCATCTGTTCCGAGGCGGGCTTCCACATGGAGGTTGCGGTAGGAGTAAGATCCAAGGGTGGTTGTGGCGTAACACATCGATGGCACGATGAGCGCGTTGGAGGCATCGATGTCCTGGATACTATCCGCGTGGCGGACGCCGCGACGCCCCTCGGTGTTTGTGGCATATTTTTCGTTATATGTTGCCTGCCCCACGTCGTGTGTGCCAGGCGTATGCGCGAAGGATATGTTATCAATGTCTTCGCGTAGAGTCAAAGCCATGTTGGTTGGGAGTCAGCAGCTCGCTGGCAGAGGGTCAGCGTCAGGCAGATGGCGTTGTTCAACCAAATGTAATGGTAACGTAGAGGTTGTCTACTTAGCTTGCTCGTACTCCAGAGTAGGGTCGAACTCCAGTCTCGGTTCTCCTGTGATGGGGTAGAACCTGGACTGTTATGGAGTATATAGCCAGATTCATGTAGTTGTTTGTCGTCTTAGAGGTCGTCAGACTTCATGGGTGCAAGGAGTGTATCTTCATTTCCATGGTTTGCTGGCTTATTTTTTTGTTGAAATATAGTCTCCCATGATGAGGACAAGAAATGGGTCCATGAACTCTGATGGTATATCCTCAGTGTTTGCATCTTGTTTCAATACTCGTGTGGAACTTACGCCGTGGTTTCTGGACATGGATACGGTGTGGTAATGTGAACTTGAGATTGACCTGAGAAGGCACATGCCGTGCGCCTTATATGCTGGATAGTCGAGGCCGTAACGCTTCTCTAGCGCTCTGCTGGCTTCTTAACGGACGACGAATGATCGACACAACAAACGTTGTACTCAAACAGAGCGGTTCCATCAGCGGGTAGGACCAGAATGGGAAGCGTTGTTGTGCGTGTCTCAAGTTGCAAGCATTTAGAAGTATTATCGTTCTAATCAATCAATCACGGGCGTGTGAGTCGTATGTGTCGCATCATTGTGCTGAGCTGTTCAGGGCAAACAATGCAGTCTACATTGTCTGAATCCAAATCGCAGAAGCAGGTAGCCACCTTCGGTAATGTCTGAGGCTCTGCACAACGAGGGCTCAAGCCTCTCCTTTTCGTCAGAGTATTGCCTCATCTAGTCTGCTGCGAGCACTCACCGATCTCTCGGATTCAGATTTTAGGGATATCTCAGTCGTTTTTGTTGTTGACAGACAATTCATCTGCCCTGGCAGGGTTTCTTTTGCAGCATAGCTACCACGTCGGCATGACCACAGACAGGGTGCGCAAGAACGGGATCCGCTCGTACGCCAATACAAACTAATATAGCGTACTGGTTGTAAAGTAGAAAGACAATTGCAAACGCGAGCGCAATGTCAAATTGGGATCGTGCCGCTAGAGCTCGCCGATACCTGACATGCACAGGGTGCAGGGCCCATCACACTCTCGGAAGGAAGAGCGTCAGAGTGTGCGGCCATGGACTCCTCAGTAACCGAGACGGTCAGAAATCCAGCACTGCAATCTGATATACACAGCCATGGCAGGCAGCGAGTGCGTGTCGGCAACGCATGTGCGAGCTGCATACCGCAGCGCGCCTCTTCCGCAGGCACTCATACTCAGCTCGCCTGCCAGCGCGCATCCGATCTCGAGCTGTCATAACCAACATCCACTCACAATGCGGCGTTCCAGGTCCTGGAATTCTAATGTTCAGAGACGAGCCAAAGGCGTACTGGGCCGCTTTCGTAAGCGTTATGTTGGGCTACGGCTCACCGGTGAGTAAAGTCCTCAAATGCAGAGTGGGGTGAGTGGTACCTACCAGAGAGCTATAGTAATCTATTTGCGATGTACATAAAACTGCTTTGACGATGGTTCGCACTCATGCGCATGTCTCATGGCGTGGACCTGTTATAATATGTCAATCAGTTTGCACACAAGTCCAGTTTGCCGATGAAAGTACGGGGTGCAGGTCCATATTTGCGCGAAATCAAGGATGACATGGATCCAGTTATGGAGCGCATCGAACATCGCACTACGGCGGTGCAGGAGCAGCCTAGCGCGTGGATGATCGGTGATCACTGGCATCTTGTGCATGGCAATCACAGAGGTGCTGCTTGAGCAGGCAGCCGCTGCTGCAAAAGGAGCAAAACCACGACCTCATGCTCGAGAGGTCGTGATACATTCGGCACGGATACTGCAGATGTAGCGAGGGAATCCCTTTTGCGGAACACAAGAGCCACAGCGAAATAGACGACACACCTCCTGTGATACTGACTTCCCCATTTTCATCTCACGATTCATTGGAGTTCTCCGCTGCCGCGGCTTGGGCGATGACAGGCGTCGAGCGGATGAAAATCTTTAGCGGTCCAATTCACACTGACGCGACCGGGCCATACGATACCTAGTCGTTGTGTCGCTATAGGATGTTCCAGGCATAAGTTATAGCGTGCACCCACAGTGCGGCGTTTGCCACGGGCGAGTGGCTCACGCGGTAGTTCGACAATTTGATACGGGTCTTGACTCTGAAATGTCGTCGTCTCGTGAAGAGGGCCGCATTAACGCCCAAGAAGCGTAAAATCTCCCTAGATGACAAGCACAAGTCACGCTCCTCTGTCCATGCAAAGAGCTCATCAAAACCTCACATTGTCGGGTCACAAGGACAGATGGCACGTTGCATCAGCGCAAGAACGGGCTATTGTCGTCCTATTGGCGTGGCGAAAGCGCGAAGCGCCAGGCTGTACCCCAATTTGAAGGCGTTGCAGTTATCACTCCTATTTATATTTGTCAGTGAAGAACAGCAGCATTTTAGAGAATAATCGGAGAGAACCCCACTATTCCGGTATGTGACGTTTCGAGGCATGAGCAATGTCTTGAGCATCCGGCCACGCAGATCAGGGTTTTGCGTTTGATGTAGCATCCTATGAAAGCTGCTTAGCAAAAACCACATGACATACGGCAATTAAAAGTCGCAGAGGTGTGAAGCCTAACCGTGAGCCTCGTCATCGACAGGGAAACCGCTTCCACGCCGGGATTAAGCACAGCGGACGGCCTGCAGGAGGAAATGACCGCATCTCTGACGAAGAGAGAGCTAGGATATGTGGCTATTGCGCTATATCCATATCTATCCCTACGTCAGAGGGAATGTCGGAGGCCTCCTGAGTCATGGCTGCGTTGTCGGCAGCTCGGACCCTCTGTTCGTACGCATGTCCTATGACGTGGCCCGCGAGGAGTATATCAATAGGTCTGTATACATGTCCCGCTGGCTGATGGGCAGCATGTGGCGCATGTGGCTAGTGAAATATTTCGAGACAGACATGATCGTGAGATCCCATAGAGAATCTCTGGAGAGCAGGAGTATGCAAGACGCCTGGCGCGTGAGACAACGGTGACCGCCAACGTGGCGTGCAGCACGAACGCAGAATGCTGCACAGGCCACAGGTCTGCAAGGAGAAGTACAACCCGTGCTCTACAGGTCGCGGTGCATGCACCGGCTTACATGTCACAACGCAGTGGATGACATCCTGCCTCCGAGCCACAACAAAACAGATGACACACCCTCAGTGATTTCCACCCACGCCGACCTTACACAAAAACACCTATGCGCTACATCTCACATCCCTTCGGGGTTCCCCGTAGCGTGGTGACCGAACTCGGAGCCACCGCCCATTTGGTCCTCTTCTGGTCGGTTCATAAGTAGTTCCTAGACTTGGGGTAGTAATGATCTATTGCGGGCATCAGCCACATCATGCATCCACAGTGTTGGATTTGTCACCTCGGGGGAGTGGTTCAAGCGGTGGCTCAACGATCGAGCACGGACCCTAGATCCGAAAGGCGACCAAACCGCGTGAGGGGACTGAAGACGTGGTTGTGCTCTTCAACTCACAAGGGAGATCCGGACATGTGGGATCACCTTCATACAGAATCCCGCCAGAACATCACATTCTGGGAATACGAAGATGAGTGGCACGCTGTAGCAGCGTGAGAACCGGTCACCGTCCACCGAGAACAAAGGCGCGCAGCGCCAGCCTTCATCTCGATATGGAAACAGTCGCCGCTGTCACTCGCTCGCAATTCAACTTCTGTGCTTCCTTCTACTTCTTCTAGTGCGTGGGTAAGGGCCTGCATTGTTCTGAATGCCCAAAGGAGCGCCTTCGCAAGGATCTTAGGGACACGCGCGGTTCATGAGTCAGTGTACACTGCGCAGAGCATTATCGCAGAGCTCACATATACATATAAGCGGTGCCCCTCTTGCCTCTCAGACCACCATCGACTCGTTCCAACCTTCGCAGCCTCTATACTAGGCGCTGACCTGTGTAGCCACATTATTCTTGATCCTCAGCACGACCGCCATACCAACTCTACCATGTCTTCTGATGCATTCGCGGAGTTACGCGCTTGGCTCCAGGGCACCGCAAGTACGAGCACTGAGGAATCATTCCTCGCAGCAAGTCCACCGCACCGCCAGGAGCCGCACGACGGGGCAGATGCGCCCAAAGGTGACGAAGACCTAGAGGGTCTCTTTGCCAATTTCAACTGGGATTTATCATCGTATGGATTGCCGGAGGTATGCTGCCGTTTTCCCTCTGTCTACACACAGCATATAACATCCTGTCAGCCCCTCAGCTTTGAGGACCTCTCCCAGAAGGATGCCACCATAGGGATCAACCCTATGGACACGCTCCTTCAACCCCAGCCCTGCAGTGTCCAAGCGCACACACCCACACACGGACACGGGAATTTCGTGGAAAATCCGCTGTCACAGGCGGAGCATCCGTCCGCGGTCCCCTCGGGATTCGCCCCATACGGTGCGCTGTCCTCGGCGATCGGACCTTGGGCGGCTCCACTCGATCCATATCAAGCCTACTACGAAAGCTGGCTCTATCGGTGGTATACTGCAAGCCCATCGCATGTTGCGCTGCATAGCGTAACCAGCGATCCCACACCTGGCCTGCAATTCACAGGGCAGGCTGTGAGAAACACAGATTACATCAACTACGGCAACGGCGACGACGTCATCGACGCTCCTGCGCCGCGCGCTCCCCGTCGCAAGAAGGCCCGCTCTGGTACTCGCAAGGACGCCATCCGCCTGTTCGTCGCTAGACGATCCAAGCTCAGGAAGCCCACTTCCCACAACTACGGATGTGGACATTGCGATGCATGGTTCACTCGCATCTATGACCGCCAACGTCATATGCAAACTGGCTGCGCCAATGGCGAACAGAAGGAATGGCAGTGTCCTCTCTGTTTCAAGATGTACTCGCGCATCGACTCGCGCGCGAGGCATTGCCAGAGCCTGCACAATATGTCATACAATGACGCATTTGCACTAGCTCAACAAAGGATGGCGAATACGGTCGCTAGTGCGAGTGAAAGCTCACATGCATCATCCGACGAGGATTAGACTTCTTCGCATCGATTCCTCTCTCTCTGGCGTCTCTGCTATCTCTGCTGTCGTCTTCGCTTTTCCAAGGACCTTGATATGGCTATGCATGATTACTTTGATCTCGCTGCTTGTTTGCTTTGTATCTATGTCTCCGGCTTGTGTATTTGCTGTCTATGCTGTGATATATCTATTCTCATTCAAGCGTCACACAATGCCAGTGAGTGAATTGCGTGCTTACGATGTCCGATAGCTCGATGCAACCGAGGATGGACAGCGTCCGGCACTGGTATATGGGATAGCGCAATGGATGGGTGAAATGTAGATGTACTTCGCGCAACGATGCGATGATTCCCTCGTACATATCACCTGAGGCAAGACAAGAACCGATTGATAGTGAGACGTTGCGTTGCTCTTTATTCAACAGAAACCTGAGCGACCAGCATTTTAGTTAAAAGCAGAATGTGTAGCATAAGATCTGTCGAAGGTAAAGTCGGGATCCAAACTCTGAGTTACGCGTTGTACAATCTTGCAATCGCAGATGAACCTTGTCGGCATCTGCCGAAACTGGACCGTCCATCCTGAACCTGGAAGCAGCTCTATCGCTAATGACTGGAGCCCACACCAGTGACCGTCGGGATGAACATGAACAGGTATCGGACGATTAACGCGGAAGAAATGTACGATGACAGAGACAGGGTCGGTAGTAAGGGTACAAACGCGCAGGATTATGACTACGGCATGTGGGCGTATATACGACCGCAACGCATGATATATCATCTCTCACGCGAGCTCGAGAAAACAGTAAGAGTTCTGGTGGGAATTGCGTATATAGATGTCGGCGATGTTCCGCAGCCCGTGCGACGATATCGCGGCATCAAATCTCAACCAGATTCACGTCATGCCATAAGATGTTCAGCTGGAAAGCGACAGAACCTCCACGACAGGTGCACATAGGAACCCCAAAGAGTATAGGGAGAGGAACGACTATTGATAGTGTCGCATTTCGCGTGATTGACACAGACGACGTGATCACCGGAATTGATGGACTCGAGACATGCGCTAGTCAAGTGCTCGTCTGTAGGTGCCTTGCGGAGTCGAGGCATCAGAGTCTGCGGGTGATTCACGAGTGTGTCGGAGGTCGTTGACTAGGAGTGACGACTGAGTATTCTGGAGCGCCTCCGTTTTCGGATTGAGGACCACGTCGACGGCGAATAAGCAGTCCGCGTTGAAATATGACCGCCGGAGGCGATCATGCCAGGGTGCCGTCCATGGATGTGATCGTCAAGGAAGCGTCTGAAAAGCCGCGGAGCGAGACAGGGCATACGACAATGTCATGAGGCTGGGGAGCAGAGAGGAAGCGGAGAAGCAATGTATCTTGATTCTTGGGTTGGGAGACGTGAGGCGCGGAACTATCCAAGGAATGATCAGGAGTTTGTGATGCGTTGACATGTTCGGAGGTTGAGGAATGCACCGGGACAATTTCAGGACCCGTCCTATAGTGATGGGCCAGTAAAGATATCCCGCAAAGTATGATACGAACTGTTCATCCGCGCCATCCATATAGCACCGATGACGTGGTGTGTGCTCCGGCGTCCTGCGGCGTGCTATTATGGTGCCTCCGTCCTTCATAGTCGAACGGTGCATTGAATTACAGATAGTAATGTTCAAAGATGGAGGGACCTCGAACGCGCAGTAGTACCCGTTGTATGCGTAGTTGATTGAGCACTTGAAGGTCCCTTTCCAGCACGATCAAGCCAGGGATCATGTATACTGAGTTAAAGTGCTAGCATTGACTAGTACACAATACAATCATAGAACGCGTATATACTCACTGAATACACGCGCCACGTGTCCGTAGTCCGTGGTCCGCAGACGGTGTTGAACGCATTGCGCTAACCTGCGCAGGTTGGACAAGAGCAGAGTTGACATTAAGCGGTGGGAGCGAGCATATTGAGTTGGGGTAGGCAAGTAAAAGGATGGCCATGGGGTGGTTCAAGTGCTGGCCAGCGCCGAGCAAATGCGGCAAGATGGCTTTTTCCGAAGAGGCGCCCGCTGTGGCTGGACAAGCGCTCCACCGACTGCCGCAAATCCACAACCGTGTTGGCGTCGTTTGTATGCTTTGTCCCTTTAGCCAAATGGTACATTGCAGATATTTTGCAACGACAGGTGTTTTGGCAAGCTTTTTGCAACATCTCAACTTTTGTTGATAGAACCAGTATTCCGCGCCACTGGCGCGGTATACTCGGTGACCTGTCGTTGCTCTGAAGGCGAGCAGTGCGTTGTCTACCATGCATCCACATGCGTGAGATGTTGATTGTCTGGTAGAATATCAAGCGTTGTCATTACAAGAACATTTGACAAACCGTGTACATCCTCACGGTATGTCCCCGCAGCCTCTCTTGCGGCCCGCCGGCGGCAACGCAGATTGCCTTTGTTAAGTATCATAGCTTGGAGGCGAGCTCGCTAGTGAGCTGGTTCATCGCGAGTTCCCATGTAACAGGCACGCTACGATATATCGCTCGTGAATGCATGGTCGACGTGCGCTGCCTGCTGTGGACGTGTGTGTCGAGTTATGGTGGGTGTTTGTATGCGCCGGCTCGGGAAGCGAAGTACTGTCCGTGCCCCAGTTCAATTACTGGCTCGTCCATACCCAATTATCCCGGTGCCCGTTCCTCAGGGAATTTGGTGGACCCTGCGGTGATGTGCACTTGTGCGTCCCAGGTGTAAGACTCCGTCTCCAGAGACATTCAAGTTATTTCGCCTCTGCGTTCATGTTCCTGTCTTGTGGCTCTTCACTTGTGTCGGTGCAGATGAGCGAACTCTGGTCGCTGCGAATCCATAGGCTGTAACTGGCTATGTTGATGTGGGGGCCGTAACGGTGCGATTGAACCTATTATACCCAATGTCCTCGTAGATGTACGTGGCGTGTAGCGAGGAGCAGTATAATCTGTTGCGCCTTGGCTCTCTCCCGTCGGATGACTCGCTGTTTGGAGATGTTGCAGAAATTCGTGTGCTCAGGTATGAAACGCCGCTGCTGCCCTTTCTCCCTCATGAAGTATCCGTGGCGGACCCAAGTTGCACGTATCCTGTACTGACTCTGACCTGACGGGGAGCGAACTTGAAGCCATTAGCTCAGATACCCTCCAGGGCTGTGGCTGGTGCGTGATACCGCAATATGAACGCAATAATTGTTCCTGCTTACCGGTCATGAATAGGCTGGCACGAGTGCTACGACTTCTGGTGGGTCTCGATTGATGATCCCATGTGATGAGCGATGCTGACGCGTTCTCCGGGTTCCTCGACTGAATGACGAGAGAGGTGCGACGAGTCATGACCAGAGCAATGTCATTTCGCGGTCATCGTATTACAGTTGCCAAGGTTGCTGACCAGGTGAGCGTTGTCTCACTCAGCTTGCGAAGTGCAGCGGGCGCTTGAGCTGATTGGCCCGTCCGTTCAGTCCACTGAACAAGGTCATATGGTGAACGGTGGACACGCCTTTGCGCTCGATCATTGATGCCTTTTCCAGATGGGTCTCTGTGCGTTGTTTTTGATCTGGCTGTGGGAGGGTAGCTATTGCTACTGAACAGCCGTGTGTTCCCACAGGACAATGGGGCAAAATAGCCCCACGCGATGGACGATGTTTCATTGGCCAAGCGTACGCAGGTAGGGCACCATGAAAAGATTGAATGTGCTTGCATGGCCGGATTGGACAGCTTCGTGAATTGGCATCAACTTCGCAGAGCAGGCTCGTGACACTGGTCGTTCCCATTGGTTTCGCTCTCTGGAGAGGAGCGTCTTTGTAGAGACAAGGTAAAGAGCTCCCTACATATAAATACAGCTCCGAGGATGGGACAGAGAGCATCCGCCGCTCTCAACTTTCCAGCTACGGCACCCCCCAAAGGTGAGCACTCAGCCATCGTTGCCACAATCCTCGTCCTGATCCCGCTTGCGTCCAGCCACATCCGTGTCTAGATTCTGAGCAAAACAAAATGTCCCAGCAAATTGAACTCCCGGTGTACGTTGCTCAATATAGCAACACGCAAGACACTGCCTGGCACTGGGAGATTGTCGTCAAAACAAATCCTTGGGTCAAAGGTACCGGCCAGGCTGTCGGGGAGGCCTTTCACATCAAGGGCGCGACTCAGGCTATCTTCACCTACGAGCGGAAGCAAAACGTGAAGTACGGCTCCCCGTCATCGTTCAAGGGATGTGTGCTCGTCGGCCACATTAATGCGACGGCTCTGGACGCGGCGGACCAGTTGCTGAGCACGGTACCCATTGTCAACGGAAATCATAACTGGAACTGCCAGAACTGGGTGGTACTCGCGATTTCTGCGCTGGAAAACCAAGGGAGGGCGTTCTTCAAGCTGAACAAGGGCAGGCCAGTCAAGCAGGTGGACCTGCTTGCGAAGATGATCCCGCTGGCCACGGCTTACGATGCTGTGGTCCAATCTGAGGACGAGCTGTGAGATGTCGGTGTCTCTGTATGTGTCGATCTTGTTTGTCCACCAATTCTACTCCGCGTTACTGCTTCCTTTACGTTTGTCGCATTATTTTCTCAGACTGATCTCGGTCGTCGCCATGTAATACACTTGCTGGTGTCTATGTCTGTACGTGTTCCGGCTGGGCTGATTGTGTAATATTTTATCTTTTTATGCGAAAGCATCTGAGGGTCTCTAGATAGTGCGGTGACCATCTGCGTGTCCTGCAGCCGTTCTAATATATAGACTTGTGTTGAACCAACTAATCTGTGATTATCGACTATGGAAACATGAGACAGCGAATCTATATATGGTATGTATACACGGCAGCTGATGCTCCCACCTGTCATACGTCTGTCTGTCATATTATGAGGTTTGAGTATGATCGTCAGCAATCTCTGTGGCCTTATTCATCGTCCTGATGATTATACAAGCATCTACATCTTCTTGTATAAACCCTAAATGTTTCCTTTATACTACCTGCGTGCTTGCCTCATGGATAGTAGATGCTCAATCCCCCACCATACATTGCCTACGCCTCTCGAATGGTCGATCAGTCAAACACTGTTTTGGGTGTTGGACATGCTCTGTTCAATGCCTTGCATATCGCAGATGAGGCAGCGACGCGATTCAGACCACAAGGGCGAGTGAAAGGCGCTCATACACTTTGTAATCATCTCTGTTTCTGCAGAGCCACTATCTCAAACACCCTTCACACTTGTCTACAGAGTGCCTATTAGAACTTTGCTGCCATATAGACATCACCATGACATGCATTTCGTATAACCGGCTACACCATCGCTTCACGGCAGTATCAAGATGTCCAAGGTACTTCGATTGTGGCGCTGAGTCCCGGACTCCTGCAACACCGCCATGCATGGTCGTCACCGTGCTTGAGGTACTTAGTATGTTGAACGGTGCTGCTGCCCCAAGTAAGAGTATGGTTCTATCAACCTTCTGGAAACATTGGGGCTTAGCGGCCATGTATGTAGCATGTTTTGCTGATACGTGCCACACTGGCTGCGGCAAACTTCCGGATTGCGGCCAAACCAGGTGCTACAGCACTTTCAATGGTACTTTGATGAGACCTTCCGTTTTGTGTTTTACTTCCTTCCGACTCTTGACGCCACTGTCACCCGAACGGGCAACATGCCTGAGGGGATGATGACGTCATGTCTGCGGCAGCATCTAGACAGAGAGACTGGCAGCCCCTCGCAGGGGTTAACGTTCGCTAAATGGGCCAATTTCCACGGTATCAGCGCGCCTGGTGCGGCTATTGACGAGGTCTATCCTCGAATACCCATCATTACTAGTAATGTCTGGTACCTGTCCCATTCTGGAGAAAGAGACCTCCGCTAAGTACGCGCAAACTGCGAACAGGCTCATCTCATCTAGAGCCTTTCGATGTCCTAAAGATCAACTCATGAGCGTTCTCCAGGCGGTCCTGTTCCTTGTGCAAGTTCTTGTCATGAGCGCCGGTGTTACAACCACCGCAGGTCTGTGTGACACCGTGCGACATGTCACAGTTGCTAGTCACAGTCAGATCGAAGCTCGCGGTCTCTTTTAAGAGTTTGTCTTGAACCATGTTGCGATGTCTTCAGAGCTGGCTCATCTGTCTAATCACTACGAGGCTCCAGGCGTCAACGTCCCGACATTGAATTCGCACATCTTAATGAATGTGAACTCCTGGGCTTTCAATTGCCAGTGTGCACTCGAAGTTTTTGTACTTGTTCTCCGACTCGTGGCAAACACCATGAAAGAACACGATGATCACACGGAGATTCGTTCTCACGGAATATTCAGGCGAGCCACATGTATGCTACTTTGAAAACTTTCAAAGGCATACCGTTAAGAAGTGCGCGAGAGTACACCAGCGTCTACCAAACCATGGTAAGCCTTCCTACCCGCCCAGCCCTCCTATAATTGCCATCCGAGCTCGCATATGTTTCTTCACCGCCTTACGGGGCATGGTCATACCCGATTAATTTTGAGTGCACGGCGTTGTATCATATCTTCTACCAGCGTCTCTCGCTCTCCGAGCCGGTCGCACTTGTTCTTAGAGATGCCGTTCAGCTCGGAATTGCGCATGTAGCGCTTCTGACTCATATCCGAATCGTTGAAAGTGGTGCCGAGTGTAAACCTCAGCTCACAGTGATGAAACCTATAAGGACTTGCGAGGCCGCGAGACATCCGTGAAATCACATGGTGTTTCTGATTTCACGTGAGTTAGACAAAGCCCTTGCGATTGCTGTGGAGGAGATCATTATATACCGAAGGCTATTGTCGGGAAGTCGAAGTCTCAATCGAGAATTGGCCGTGCTTGTACCAGAGTCGCGAGGATAACTTCGTCCACTGGAATGGACGGCCAGTGCTAGTTGAAGAACGGGGATGCCATTACTATCTTCCGTGACGCAGTCGAGATTACAGCGTGCCTTCTGCACACTATGCGGTAAGCTTTTCTCCCGCGAGAGGAACGTAGGACAATTGATGATGTTACACCAGAGCGGAAAAGAACGACGTCGTGGAGATGCGTTCACTGTAACAATGGCGGATCGACCGCCATCCGGAATGCGCTATCATTGTCAGGGCATCAAGCAAGTAGCGCCCGCAATGGAGGAAGCGTCTGTATTCAGACCAGGTTTCCTAGCAAATATAATTGAATAGGAAACCGCTTCAATATGCGCTAGCGTGCGTTCTTATATCCGTAGAAGGTGAGTTCAACATTTGAACGCCACCATCACAACCACATGGCTGAAATTCAGCGTCAAACTTCACTCTAGAACAGGATTGCCAGCTTTAGCCCGCTGCTCGCGAACTCCCTATAGATCGCGAGAGAAGCTCGGCCTGCGGCAGTGATTAGCCGGTGTCAGGGTACGTTGTATCGAAGAGCGGTATTGCGCTACTATACCTCACCGGGCAGTCGGCAGGCGCCAATCAACGAGTGCATTCCCGAAATCTCTCTGAAGGAAGGTAGGTATATACCGGCATGGGTCCCAATAAGGAACGTCGGCTTTCCGTACCTATATACATGGGTCGCTACAGTCCCTATCCATACGGAGCATCCTCACCAGGCTTGCTACTGATGACTATTCGGCGCGCGCAGCATCACTCACCGGGCAGCGGTATCACAAGCCTCAACTAGTACACGGAACAAGCACAACAATAATACCCCACGGCCGCCGCGAACACCACCTACGCCGGCGCGCCCGGCGCCACGTACATAGCAACCCCATCAAACGTGACTAACACCACCAACTTCGCGAGCAGGTCCATCAACAAGCGCTGCACCGATGTTCGCAGACCGATCAGCGATTCTGTCTCCTGGGCCAATCAAGCTGGGGTCGCCAACTTGGGGGTCCTGCTCGACTGCCTGGTAAGGTACAGTACACGTTGAGGAAGAAGTCGATCCCGCATTACACGCTTGTAAATATCAATTTCGAGAGATGTTCGAGATTTAGATCTTGTGATAGTCGTTGTATCATTCCCGGCAAGTCACAAAGGCACGCAACGATGATGATGATGAATTCTAGATTTATATCCCGCAACAAGCAAACATATAGTGCTAAGACGCGGCGGGCTCCGGCCTGCGAAATGCGGGCGGCGTCGCCCTGTCGTGCGTGGTGTCTACGGGATCATGTACTATGGTTTACCAGTGGATGCCCCCCCCCCCTCTGGATGGCCAGGTTTGTGATGGCGCAACAACCGGGCACTCCCCTGCCTTCGACATTATGTGGACACCTACATTTTCGTATGCCTACTCTCACCTCCAACTTGAATGAGAGCGAACGGATGAGTCGTTCAGGAGTCCCTTCTTTCGAGGGGTTTGATGGCCATGTCACGCCCGAGATCACGATGGCCACGACGGACACGAGCGGAGCTACAAAATTGACCTGTCGATCACCGTGGATCCACACGCCACTGAGCAAAAGTTCAGGCCCCGGCCCTGTGGGCCGAGCGGGCCTCTGAATCGGCATCGTCACATTGATGTGACGAAGTGTTACCTGGTCATCAAGAGGGGAGGGCCATCCACTGGTAAACCATAGTAGTAGAGCGATGTAGTAATTCACGGGTGCTAATGCAAGGCATGTGGGTGGCTATCTAAATAGTGTTCCCGACAGGCGCGCGATGGCAATATAGCAGCGCACTGTTCGCGTCTGCCAACCCATTGCAGCTGTGAACTTTACAGAAATCAACAAATTCCGATGTAATGCCGATCAAGAAACGAAGCTGATAACCGAAACGGGATCGCATAGGCGTGCATCGGCAGCGGTTATATCGGGGATGGCCTAGGTACCGTATTTCTTATGGGAAGCTCATGTCAAGGTGCTGCTTGTTCCTTCTTTCTTGTGCTTCGTGTGGGAATGTGTTGCCTACGATCTACACTTCCTTGCACCTTCTCCGGTATGCGCTGGAACGGCTTCTATTTATCCTTATATTGTCCTGATAGACATTGGCTTTCAGTGCTTCAAGTGCTAATCCGCTCATGGTCCAGACTACATAAAGTGTACGTAGCATCTACCCCACGGCTAATATCCGCGAGTGCGCTAAGCTCATGGGTCTTCCTGTTCATCAGATCATCGTGAGGGAGTCCCCGGCAAGGGACCAGAATCATCTGCGCTTCAGACGCTCTAGCACCACGTCAGCTATAAATGCAAGCTATCTGACGAGCTCGCTGTATTCCCAAGTCTTTGGAAGCTCTTCCTTTGCCTCGTACCATGTCGGCTCTGCTTGAATACGACGTCATTATAGCTGGAGGTCAGACGTCTTAACGAGGTACGAGCGACGTCGAATCTAGCGACTACCGGTCAGAGCTTCAGTGAGGTAAGATCAACTCTTTATTACTGTACCTAGCGACTACCAGTCACTTTACAGGGGATCAGCGCATGTACAGTGCATAGGGAAATATAGGGACTTACGAGCTTCAGTGAGGTAAGATCAACTGAAGCTCGCATCGAAACAGAGACGCTATATAACATATCGTAATGCGGTGAGTCGCCAGTATCTACGGTACATGGCTAAACGAAAAGGAGTCCGGATATATAGTGCGGGTCAGGAACACCAGGGGCGCGACAACGTCGCGCTGATCCCGACGCGATAACGCGGCGTCATGCGCGCACGCACACGTGGGGCGGATGGATGCGCTTGACCGTCAACACTCCCCCTCAAGCGGGACGAAGCCCCATGCGTTCGGCGAGGAGCCCGACCTTGTGCTGCACCAACGCTTTCGTAAGGAGGTCCGCGACCATGTCGTTGGTCGGGCAGTAGTCCAGCATCGCGCGGCCAGAGTCGAGGACTTCACGGATGAAGTGGTAGCGTATATCAATGTGCTTTGTACGTGCACTGAGTAGGCCGTTCTTCGCGATGGTAATGGCGCTCTGATTGTCGGAGAATAAAAGGGTCGGATCAGATAATGGAGAGGTGAGTTCGCCTAATAGAGCGCGAAGCCACAGGAGTTCTCGGGTGGTGTCAGATGCAGCGATGTATTCAGCTTCAGTAGAGGAGAGTGCGATGATCGGCTGCTTTCGCGAGCTCCAAGTGATTGCACCACCAGTAAAGAGGAAGACATGCCCGGAGATGGAATGACGGTGAGGTTGGGAAGCCCAGTCGGCGTCAGAGTATCCCGTCAAACCGTCTGTTGAGGGGCCGAATGTAAGACGCAGCTCGCGTGTGCCTTTGAGGTAGCGAAGCACCCGCTTTGCAGCATCCCAATGGATTGGCACGGGGTTTGCCATGAACTGCGCGAGCGTTGAGACAGCGAATGCGATGTCGGGGCGTGTGCCGATTGCCGCGTACATCAGGCTGCCAACAAGGCGAGAGTATGGCTTACGAGCCATCTCACGACAGTCGTCGTCAGTAAGCTCGACGCCGTGAAGGGTGACGTGCGGGTCCATGGGCACAGTGAGCGAGTAAGCGTCGGTCATACGGAAGCGTTCGAGCATGGTGTTGATGTACGACGCTTGCGAGAGGGAGATGGTGCGAGTGGCGCGGTTGCGAAGGATCTCAAAGCCGAGTAGCCAGCGTGCTTCACCGAGGTCAACTATCTCGAAGCGAGCTGAAAGTTGCTGCTTCAGCTTGGCCATAACACGCTTGGTGTTTGTCACCAGCGTGCAGTCGTCAACGTGGATGACGATGATGATGACCACACCAGGGACGAAGATAAAGAACACACCAAAGTCGTGTTTACTTCGCGTGAGGCCAATCTCATCAAACAGCTCACAGACCGTTGATAGGCGCCGAGCCCCGCTGGGCCCCGATACACCTCTTTTCGGCACTCACATCCCGCCCGGCACTTCGACTCAGTCTCCCAACACTTCGATTTCGCCTTCGACGCTCTTCGACACCTTCGACGGTGCGCGACGCTTACTCGAAGCTCGGCACGGTCGTCCCGATGCCTCGCGCGTAGATCCCGGGACATCTTCCGCATTCGGCGAACAATAGGGCCACTTAACGCCGCTCGGCCAAGCGCGCGCTTCGCTCCAAGCCACACCGAAGTAGCCGGTCTTTCCCGATTAGGTATTGAACCTCGCGGCATGCCTTCAACGACGGATACCGGTCCGAAGTGGCCATATGTTGCCCTTCATCTCCGCGTTCGGCATGATGTCACTCTACCGATGGACTTGATGCGTGCCACTCGGTGAGGCAGCTTCTTGAGGAACAATGCAAAGCCCCTTGTA